ACAACAAGAAGGCAGGGGCCATGAATGCCCTTGTTCGAGCATCTGCAATCATGTCCAATGGCCCCTTCATTCTTAATCTTGATTGTGACCACTACATTTACAATTCCCTAGCATTGAGAGAAGGAATGTGCTTTATGATGGACCGTGATGGGGACCATATTTGTTATGTCCAATTTCCTCAGAGGTTTGAAGGAATTGATCCATCTGATCGCTATGCCAATCACAATACTGTCTTCTTTGATATTAACATGCGAGCTCTTGATGGAATTCAGGGTCCAGTATATGTTGGAACGGGATGCCTCTTTCGCCGCACTGCCCTTTATGGCTTTGAGCCACCTCAATTGCAAGAAGAAACTGATTGCTTCAGCTGCTGCTTGCCACGTCTTAAGAAACCTGCAACAGTTGCTGCTGCCGCTGATGTTGACCCTGAAGATATTCAGTTGAGGGAGGATGATGAAACGAATATTGCTCTTATTCCTAAGAAGTTTGGAAACTCCAGTGTACTTGTAGAGTCTGTCCGGGTGGCAGCAATTCAGGGCCAGCCCCTTGCTGATCATCCTTCTGTCAAATATGGACGACCACCTGGTCTTCTCACTGTGCCTCGGGAGCCCCTTGATCCATCCACAATTGGGGAGGCAATCAATGTTATCTCATGCTGGTATGAAGACAAGACTGAATGGGGGCAAAGTGTAGGGTGGATTTATGGATCAGTGACTGAAGATGTCGTCACCGGGTATAGGATGCATAATCGTGGGTGGAGATCTGTTTATTGTGTGACCAAAAGAGACGCTTTCCGTGGCACTGCTCCAATAAATCTCACTGATAGGCTTCACCAGGTTCTTCGCTGGGCCACTGGCTCTGTTGAGATATTCTTCTCACGCAACAATGGCCTACTAGGCAGCCCTAGGCTTAAGCTTCTACAGAGGATTGCTTATCTTAATGTTGGGATATACCCTTTTACTTCCATATTCCTCATTGTTTACTGCTTCCTTCCTGCACTTTCCCTCTTTTCTGGTCAATTCATAGTTCAGACTCTCAACGTAACATTCCTTGTTTACCTCTTGGCCATCACCCTGACCCTTTGTGCTCTTGCGGTTCTAGAGATCAAGTGGTCTGGCATTGAACTTGAAGAGTGGTGGAGGAATGAGCAGTTTTGGTTGATTGGAGGCACAAGTGCTCATCTTGCTGCAGTGCTCCAGGGGCTATTGAAGGTGCTTGCTGGCATTGAAATATCATTCACCCTGACATCAAAATCAGCTGGTGATGACGTGGATGATGATTTTGCTGATCTCTATATCTTCAAGTGGACATCTCTCATGATACCCCCACTCACAATCATAATGGTTAACTTGATTGCCATAGCTTATGGAATTTGTCGTACAATATACAGTACCGTACCTGAATGGAGTCATTTGCTAGGAGGTTTGTTTTTCAGTTTCTGGGTATTGGCTCATCTCTACCCCTTTGCAAAGGGTCTTATGGGAAGACGAGGGAAAACACCTACAATCGTATTTGTATGGTCAGGTCTTATTGCAATCTCTATTTCTCTACTCTGGGTGGCTATCAAGCCCCCATCAGGAAATTCTGATATTGGAGGGTCATTCCAGTTCCCGTAAATTTTGACGACTTTGAGCCCTCTGTTATTATTTTACAGGGCGGATAGTTGCACACATTTGTATACTTGTTCTTTTAAAGTTAGAGATGTGATGTTAGAGATTAAATTCCATTCTATATATACATCACGCCCTTCCCATGTATAGTCGTCCCATTTCGTTCTTGTTTTCTTTTAATGTTTTTTACCAATTGCCAGGATTCTTTGGCACATCACATCTCTGCCATCCAACTGTTCAATTGAAAAAGTGTGCATACATTCATTTTTAAGGTAAACATCCTTAGGGTGAATCGTTTTGAGTAAAGTACCCATTTCTGCTTTCTACTTTTCCAATATTACCGGAGACTAGTACATGAATCTTTAGGATTAGTGAAAAAGACTGTAGCTAACTGCTTTGTAGGTTAATGGATAGATCAGAGAGTTCCTTTTGCTTTTGTCAAGATGCTAACGGGAAGCATTTCATTGCATCCCTGACATTTTAATTCTTCCATGTCGTCCCGTTTCCAATTTGCTTCTGGTCAATCAACTGGCAGTTTTTGTAACTAATTTTTAAGTCATTTAATAAATTGCATGACTTTAATACCTTGCAAGTTGCAGACAAGACCCAACTTTTCTTTTGTCTCAAAACAGACTCATTTTAAATTCTCATATGCTGGCTCCCAATCCAACCAATCTTGAATGGACCTAACCTGGCTGGACGTGCTTCTTTCTATAAGATAGACAGAGGGAAATGGTAAGCCTTTGGAAAAACATGGGGTAAAGACAAGGCAAAAGAATTGGAAGAACCTTTGGAACTGGTAAGCCTTTTTAAGAGTACAGAGTTTTTAATAGGAAGAACCTTCTACTGTCTGGCCATTTTAGAAACAACAGAGGGTAAAAGTTGATAAATGAACCATTTCTGAGCAAGCTGTTCTATTCAGAATAAATTTTGGAGAAACTTTGAGAAGAGTTACACACTTTCATAAATAGCTTTCTAATTAAGATGGAAGCCATTGAAAAATAGTCCAAAGGGTTGGTAAATGGTAACAGTGTCTAAAGCCTTTAGAATTTTGATGAGGCTGGTAATATATATTTGAATATAACTAGAAAAATGTAACAAGTTAACTCTTCATTAAAGCAGCTTCTAACTTTTCCCAAGTTAACTCTTCCATATTCATTGAATTTTGCATGTTTCAGATGATATATAGCTGAATTGAACATGAACTAACCCTCAAAGTCTTCTTATATAGCTAGGTTTAAACATCAAAAGCATGTTATTTTTTGTAATTCTCAGATCTCTACTTCGCGTAAAACGAGAAGTTTCAAGGCGTTCAAAAATGAATAAACATTATAAGTCTATACTAAATCAAATTATGGCTGAGCTGAGAAAATTGGTTCTATGGTGTAGCTGTAGTACTTTGGACTTTGAATCCAATGACAGGTAGTTCCTGAATCATTTTGTCCTTACTATTCTTTTGCAACATGTTTTCAATTGAAATTTTGAGCTTCCAGGCTTAAACTAGCTAATTAGCCAAAACGATGGATCGAAGCATATCTTTTGGAGAATACAATCGGAATGCAAGTTAATCTAGTTGCTTGGTCATCACTAGAGCTTATCATCTTTACATATGACTTAGGTTTAAGATTTTTGAACATTGAGATTGGCGTATGTTTTAAGAAAGAAAAATTGGGTAATGTTAGTTGGAGTTTGGAAAGGGGAAGAAACATAACATGAAGATGGGGCCTTAAATAGCTGAAGTGTTACACATCCTTTTATGTTCAGCAATCATATGCTATAAATGCAACAGTCCCACCCTCAACCAAGAAAATGGAAAAGTAATTCTAAATTCATTTCTCTTGGTATGCTGCAAAGGTTATTTTATGGTTTTGTTGACCTTGTTGTAAACTTCAAGTGGGGGATTCCTAGAAACTTAGATAAAATCAAAAGAAAAGGAGAAAGACTCGTTCAAATTGATATTTTAAGGATTTCTCAGGTTAGTCTAATGCTTGTCATGCTTTCTAGACAAAATTTGTATACTACAATTAATTGCGACTTCAATACAAATTAGAGAAATAGAAGAAGTCTTGCTTCCCATCCAAAAATAATAATAATAAAAATAAAAGTTGATGTTTTATACATGTTGGTTTAAGAATTAATAATGATGTAACATTGAAATTATTTGATCCTAATAGTAGCTTGTCTAGTCACTTTCTTATTGCATGTACGATAACCTTAATGTCACTTTCACCACTAGATTAACCAATAAATGAAAACAATGTGGTCTTGATTCTCCAATGGTTTCCTTCTCGTTCACGTATTGTAAACGAAATATTTCAATAATATATTAATATATGTCACCAAAAAAACCATATATTGGTATTTAAAAAAAAAAATTCACCAAATTATGTCATATGGAACATATATACATATATTAACTTAAAGCAAGACTGGACTAATTAAATAGACAACTTGAAATGAGAATAAAGAGATGTAAGATACTTCAAGACGAAAACATTCCATATCCCAAAAATGGGCATTTAGCAATGGAAGAAGTATATTTTGTATGTAACCCTCAAATGTGTAATCAATTTGAATTAGGACAGAACTATAAATTCAATTTTCATTAGTTCTGCTGGCGACAATGTTTTTGGTATAGCGTGCAGATGGACTTGGACTATGCTTTTCCTTTCTCTCTTACCGTAATGACAATTAGCACTAGCTAGAACTAGCAATACCATCAACTTTGGATTGTCATTTTCCCTGTCTAATAATCCACAGCCATAAGTACTGTCATCTTCACAATAACGAATTGCCAACACATTCTTTACATATTTAGAAGCAAGCAACTGCACCAGGAAAAGAAATTAAGCATCTTTTTTTTCCTATTGTGATTGCGATTGCCACTAAAAAAGACTTGAGTTCGAAAAAGCCTCTCCATAGCACAGTCATAGCCACAAATGGTACTAGCAATTAGCATAAGCCATAAAGATCTGTTAAACTTTATGCTGGAAATTCATGAATATTGGATTCTCCTTGAGTCAATATAGTGGGAAAGTAACCGTTGTACAAGTCAGAGAAAGTATAATTTGGCTGATAGTACTGTTTAAATCTTTGGCCACTGCTGCTTGAATTCCAAGTACCTACTTTAAGAGAAGGCTAAAAATTCAACCAAGTTAGATGAAATTTGGTTCCATCATAAATATAAGAATCATTCAACTAGAATACAAGCAAATCACTCCATTGACTAATACTAAATCAAGGAAAAACCTGCCAAACTCAATATAAATATAAAAAAATATGTATTTATATATTCATAATGTGGTTAATGATAATATAATAACAAGACTGAAAAAATTGATTTTGACGACCAAACAGAATGACATTTTTTATTTACAAACTCAATTTATTTCATATGTCAGTCTGGTCATTGGAGATGAAAGCATCCTTTGACCTTCTCTTCCGGCGTGCTCTTGTGATTCTCGTTTGCTTCCTATGGCTTCCGCCAAAATTTAACCTTCCGGTGTCTTGAAATCTTTGTCTTTCAATTGGATCAATTACGCATTCGGGAGGTGTTACAGGGTAACGTAATGCGTCATAACAGTATGAATAGTACATGTAACGCTGCCTGAATTTGCGCATGGCGGCTCGCCTTGCCGGTGTTATGACGGCATAGTCACGGTCCTCGAGCCAGGCATCTGTAAAAGAGCAGGCAGTGGGGTTGGGGAATTGCTGGATAGGATCCATAGGGCAACCGTCGAGGACTAGCTCTTTAAACTGGGAAGTGAATGGGGCATATTCATAATTAACTTTATGTTTGCCTCCGGATGTGGCCCAACTAGAGGCATCCCATATTGTGGCATACAAAGACATTGGCTTCGATGGGTAGTCTCCACCCATTTCATCATTACGCATCACCTCCCTAATTGGAACTTCATCAACGTAAAAACTGAAAATTTCGAAAGGAAATTATAACTTTCCTGTTAGTTAGTTATTATAACGAAAAAGGCAGAGAGAAAAAAAAGCCAACTATAAACAATATAATTTATGTCCCACTTGTTCTATTTTTATTTATATTTAAGATTATCGTAATCAAAATTTTAATATTTTACTAGCAACTTACATGATTGTTTATCTTATTTATTGTTGAGAATAAGCGTCCGGTAGGTAGAATTATGGCTTTTTATCTTTGGGGCTTAGCTTTTAAGAATCTAAAGTCATATTCCTTTGATAGCCTGACTAATATTTGCATCCCAAAATATTCAAACCTTTGTACTGTTATTAACAACATTATAGCAATTCTACTTAATTATGCACTCCATCATTGGATTTTTTTTAAACTATTTTCTTGTTAATTTGCTATATAAATGACTACTTTATAAACAATGTTTGAGAGAATTAAAAGAAGAGAACAAAATATAATAGCAGTAAAAGTGACAACTAACTGAATGAACTTTAGCTAAATTTATTCAATCTTTTTTTATTCCCTAATTTGATATAATAATTTTTTTTCATAAGCCATAAATATTGATGAAGAGTTCAAAAGCATAGCATATTTTAAGAGATCGAGGAGTAGAAAACAACAGGAGTTATGGAATTAGTCCACAAGAATGAAAACAGATGTTGATTTTTTTTTTACAATAACATAAATGAATCAAACTCCATAAATAGTGTAATCTTGTAAACCAGACACAGATTGGAAAAAGAGATTTGAAATGGGGGGGTTGAGAAGTCATTTTCCAGTTTATAAATAAAACTTGGTTGTAAATGACCTAAAACAAATCATTCTTTAATTCTAAAAACCAAAAAAATTAGGCCACTTTCATAGGCTAAATTTGCCAAATAAGTATCCTACAGCAATTTAGCCTAACATCATTTTCTTTTCTTTTTCAATGCTTTACAAAAATCCCACATACAAACCCAGCCTAAATCCCCTCAAGTTTCCAAAAAGGGAAAGGACAAAACAGAAAGAACTAAGGTGTTTAAGGTAACTCACATGATGTTCTTGGTCGTCCATAGTATGCTGTATCTGTGGAATTCCTTCGATGGATCAAACCAAAGGCTGTAGCGTTCCTCTCGGCCTCGGTTTATGCTGCCATTGCCATACAAATTCGTCTGGAATCTCCATGGCTTGCCTTCAATATTTCCTAAAAACTCGAAGTCTAATTCATCATGAGTTTTTTCGAATACGTCACCGTTTGATGTCTGCATTGACCATGAAAAAGAAATACCATCAGCCATTATGAGTCATGATTGTAATTATACATGGGCACTAGTGTATTCATTTTTTTTCCCATTTGTTTCATTGAATTTCCCGTTCTTTGTAACAAATTCAAAGGGTTGGGTAGAGGGAAGGAAACGCCAAAATTTCCAGATTAATGATCATATGGAGAAACTAATTACCTATTTACTTAAAAGTTACTTTGGAATTTAAAATTTTTATTGTGTAAATTATTAAATCGAATCATGATCAAACTTACATAGAAGGCAACCACTATTCCAGCAGTATAATCTGATGGCAACTTGATTTTGGCACTGAAAAATCCATGTTGATACATACTGGATGAAATAAAACCCGACCCTGAAAATTTCACCATAGCAATTCATCAATACCAAAAAAAAAAAAAAAAAAGGGTTTGCATGGTATATATGATAAATATTCTTCATTAACCAAGCGTTACCTGTGTAAACGTCAAGGAGGAGGCAGACGCTGTGGCCATCAGGCGAGCGAACAAGATTGCCATCACCGAAGAGAGGGTTGTATCCTTCATCAAAGGAGAGGGTGGTGAGGTTGAAAGCAGCAGTTCTGAAGCAGAAGAACCAACAGAAGAAGAAGCAAAGGAAGGAGAAGGGTGTTAACGTCTCTGAAAGAAAGCATTGTAAACGACCCATAATTTATTCTTTGGTATTTGTTTCTTTTTCGGTTCTTTCTCTTTTTTCCTGTCTCTCTTCCAACTTTTTCCTTTCTGTGTACGTCTCTGTGTATTTATACACACACCGAGCGAAAAGAAAGGGGAGTTTCTTGATCAATTGAGAACGGTTTAATTGGCTGTTGCTGCTAAATATGCTTTTCAATTCACTATGCTGACTACAATGCCCTAGATTTATTTGGAATATTAAATTAAATTTCCCAGGAAAAACTTTACATATACTGCTTCAGCTTGATCGCTTTGACTTGAAGGAAAATCATCTTTGATTATTCGATTGAAAAATATAGATGTGGGTGTTTCCATATTGATTAAGAGAAGATTGTAAATTTTGAAGCTGCTTCTAGTTTGGCTGTCTTTAATTATATAATTCGTTGATTAATTAATTAATACAAATAAAGATAAACGTAGGAGTAGCTATTTTGTAGAGTTGCTAACTAACGAGGAAGGAATTTCTTCTAATGAAAGTCCACAGAAAAGTGACAACCAAGATGACATGGAGATGGCCATATGGGCCTGTTATCTATAATTCTATATTGCACCATGCAAAAAAACAATGATTTATCATGCAAAAAATTAAAGGAAATTCAGCAAAAGCAGCACCAGAACATGGTATAATATCTTTTCTGTTAATTATACATAATTCCAGCATTATGCACTAAACAATTACATGACAACTGGCCTAACCTTTTTTTTTCAAGTATATATATAGTTAACTAATTAAGAATGTGTAGAAACAAACAACTGTGGAACACTGCGAATAACCAAAAAAAAAGTATCGATTTGGGAAAATTGAAGTTATCAAGAAAAAGGAATTTTTTTGACACTTTAATTTTTGATAAATTGTTGTTATATTATCACTATCAGTTTTACAAAAACTAATTTTATTATTTGCGGATTTAGATTGAAACATATATCTTTATCAATTATAAGATCCACTAAAATCTATTAACAATTTTTCTTATCGATTTAAAACTAATTTGTAATCTCACCAAATGATATTCACTTGTTAAAACATGCTAACATTTGTTAAGTCTTTGCAATTAAGCTAATGATTCTCAACCAAAGACATTAATTTTTGAAATAGTTAGCCTCCCTATACCATGCTTTGTAAACATATATAGTTTGGCAAGACGTTGCAATCCATCTTACTAATTAATTCAACTAAAGGCTAAAGCTTCTCATTGGTGAGAAAACAAGAGAGGGCCATAAGGTCCAGTCTGTGATCAAACAACCCTATATAATTAAACCTATAGTTCCCATTAGCCGAATAGAAAAGAAGTGGGGCTCTCAATAATTTAATACTCGAAAAGGATCTTATAATTTCATAATTAATGAGTAATGAATAAGCTTAAGCTTTAGCCTTTGGGTTAGCCCTTTTGAGAGTGATAGTAACTTTGCCATTTTCAAGAGGTTGACCAACTAAAAACTTATTGATGTTTGCCTAAGAATAAAATTAATGCCATTGGCACAATGTCGTTCCATGACCCCTTGGAGAAGAACAAAAACATTAGACCAAAATCTTAGTAAATAGATCAGTGTAACAACCCAAGATATCAAACTTGGTTTAGAAAAAAAGATTCTACTAATTCATTTTTTTTCTACTATATGCTTGGTTTTGTTTGCTTTAATGTTTTAATTGATTCTTTCGGGGTTATTTTTTTTTATTATTATTATGGGTTTTTATCAGCTTTGTCAAGAATTTCAATTGCTGTTGAATTGAAAAAGATACAATCATTTTTAGTACTCGAACTTGTATTCATTCCTCAGGTGCATTCTGAGGACTACTAACAAATTGAATTTAAGACAGAATAAGCAATAGGAGGAATTTGTGGCCAGATAGCATTAGATAACATTCAAGAGTTGATAGATGGCGTTGAGGCGTCTCCTTGGCAGGTCAGATGGAGAGTTCATGGGATACTCTGGTTCTGATGTCAACTACAGAATTAATGGTTTCATGTTAATGAAGGCCCCAGGGTTACAGTTCCAAGAAGTCTTCGGTGGGCAGCCAGTGGAGCTGTGTGTGAGCTCCGCATCTGCTTTGTTGGTTCGCCTCTTCAGTCCTGAATGTGAATCCCAAAATATAGCTGCTTATGACGAGGGAAAGTAGCACAAGGTTTCTCACACCTCTAAAAATTCATGGCCGGTTTCATTGATTGAACAGTATGGTGACAGTCTGTGTCTTTTGTTTAGTGTGGTCCTGTGATTTTTGCCATTCCTATAATGTTTATCAATTTTCCAGTAGGACATGGAGCACGAGCATTTTTGCTGTTAATTATCCCATAGATTTCCTTTTGTGTATGCATACATGTGCATAGAACGACTCTCTCTCAAGAAAATCGGAAATCAAGAACCTTACTTGAGGGAACCATATAACCTGCGAGGATAAAGGATCACTAATGCGTTTACATTTACCCTGCGAACAACAAAATGCTTGTGTATGCCTGAATCTGATGCAAAAACCGCACTGCTAATCAGCAGCAAACCCAAGCCCTCATCTCTTCCGCTTCTTTCCCTGGTGAAAAAATAGCCTAAAAGAAGACCTGAGGACTTAGATTCGAACCAAGTCACCCTTCCTCCTGCAATAGGGCTTTGCCCTCCTATGAACCCAAAAAAAAAAAAGCATTGCTTATCAGTAAAACACTTTACCATTAAAGAAAGGGCCCACTTGAGGGGAAAAATGTCGTACAACGATAGAACTGCCAGCATCCAACCATTAAAATAAATCGGAGTTCATTTGCTTCTCTCAATTACACATTTCATCAATCATATTTAACATAAACAAGCTTGAAAAGTTAAACTGTGCACGCTACCCCTCTTTCAATCAACAGAGAAAGGTATAGCATAATATCAGTCTACATATCATCATCCCATGGCTTTGATTGTAAAGATAGCCAAATCACGGGTGATCAATTATAGGGGATAAAGGGAACCTAAAAACTATCAAGGTCAGCTTTGATAAAATTTAAACATGCTATGCAGAATAAAAACTTTCTGTAGCTAATTTGGTTAGGTTGTGTTCCTGGAAAGATGCATGAAGCAGGGTGTATGAATCCTAGTGACTACCCTGCACAGGCTCTGTTTGTTCATCATTATTTGTATGTTGGTCATTCCTACCAGACTTCTGATCCTCATGTCCAGGAATTTCCCCTAGCCTCTCCTGCAATTATGTAACCAATATTAGGAAGCAATTCTATGCAAACAGGTGTGCAGATGAGGCAGACTGCAGTTCAAAGAGTTTAATATTTTGCAAAACAAACCAAGAGCAGAAGATGACCTTGAGAGAGGTATTCTCTGCAAGAAGCTGCTCATACTCGCTCTTGATACGACTCACTTCTGATTTAAGATTGGCATTCTCTTCTTTTAAGGCTTCAGCACGCTGGGCCAGCCCATCACATTCCGCCTGGATTCAGTAAAGAGCATTAGCACAATCAATTCATATGTGGCCTTTTAATGGAAGATAACATTAGCAAGATATGCAATTTCTGAAGGATACTTAATTACCTGTTTACGCAGCCTGGATCTGCGAGCAGACTCTCTGTTTGATTGCTTCCTTCTCTGGCGTTTAAGCTCCCTTTCATCCTTAATCCATACAACCAGAAATTGTGTAAGTTACATACAAACTAACAAAAAATTGCAACAAAAAAAAAAAAAGCGTTCTTACAAAATCAATAAGGAAAGTATTAAGTATGTGATAGTTGATTGGAGGAGAAAAATCTTGATAAAAAATCAAGTCTATTTAGTTTCAAATTTAACATTTCACTGACAAAGGTATAACACTACAGCCAAAAGCAAAGGTATTGTCTTTAAGGAGATCCTGAATTTTAATATTTTCTACAGAGAGAGAGAGAGAGAGAACCTGCAACCAAAGCTGTGGCTGAACACTGTCCCTTGATGCAGGAGTTACCATTCCTCCTGCAACTGGAGTTGAAGGAACCTGGCCACGAATTGCAGGGATAGTGGATGAAGCTGGAGTACCCCAGTAGTCCATCCCAATATGTAAGTTTGTCGTAGGACCTGGAACAGCTGTAGCAGCCCCAGCAGTAGACATAGGTACAATGGGAATTGCCGCATTCACCATTGCATGAGGTGCATTTGGGCCTCCATTCTGAGGACCATGTGCTGTACTTCCATTCTGAGATGCTTCACCTGTAACACAGACATTGTAGACATTCCTAAGAACAAACACAGAAGGTAATTACATAACAAAAAAGATTATGTTATGACATTATCACTTCTAACCTTCTCCAGAATCTTGCCTTCCTCCGGACTTCAATTGTGAATCCTAAAAAGAGGGAAGAGAATAAGATTTTACAGCATAATCTTGACCAGAAAAAAATATGCAGGGAGGGGGGGGGGATTATATGTGAATGCCTGAACTTGAATAAAAATGAAGCATAATAGTTTTGTCATTCTTGGAAGAGTTTCAAGAGAAGCTGCAACACATGGAGAATTGTAATAGAGATGATTAGTAGAATACAGCTTTAGGATTCCTTCAAAAACCGCACTCCCAAAATCTTTTTTTTCCTATGACAGACAGAAGGCCCATTACGCTTTGTTTCCCATGTCACGGGAAAATAGAAAAATAATTTGATCAGTTGGCAATAAGCTTTGTTTCCCATGTGATGGGAAAATAGAAAAATAATCTGATCAGTTGGCAAGAGAACTCCAACAACATAATTGAGAAGCTACAAGAGGATTGTGCCTTTCAGTGAGAGAGTGAGCAAGAGATGGAGAAAGAAAGAACACTAGTGTCTCAACCCATAATCCACATCATCCTGAAGAAGCCGTCAGGTCACTATGAACAACACAGAGGCAGAAATACAAAGAAAAGGATTGTGCCTATGTGGCTCCATTGGCATATCTTCTAGTACTTAGAGCTAAATCACAAAATTTATTAATCAGAAACATCATGAAATACAGAGTTAGGTGGCCCCAGAATTAAATAGATGATATTGAAACAATATAATAACGTGTGGCAAAAAATAAAACATGCAACTGAGCAAACCCCTTACCTTTAGGTTTTAGAAACCCTAGTCCCAAGACCACACCAGTAATATCTCTGAGAAAGTTTTTTTTTTTTTACCATAGGTCCATGGAAAATGCTCACTTGCTGGGTAAGTACAAACACAATATAAAATACAGGAAATATTTTCAGCCAAACAACTTCTTTAGAAGATTATAGCTTTTTCCAGGCAATCAATACATTTAAGCCAGATGATATTTATAATAAATAAAAGAGTGATTCAAGCCTAGTATGGTAAAATGAAACATCAATGTTGTGGCCACTTCAAAACCCTAACTATTCATATCCAGATTGTAGAGCAAAATAATAGTTAAAATGGAGCATAATTTTCATGAAACTGCAAGTACTGTCCTACAATCAGCCATATTTGCAGGGTATTCACACCCTCCAAGATAGATGCAATACAAAAGCAAATTCAAAATAATAAACCAATAAGAGGAAAAGGCAAGAGGCATTGCACTCACATTCTGGGAGTTTGCATCACTGCCTTCACTTGTACCTTCACTTCCACTCTCAGCACTGCACAAACACAATTATTCCACTGTCAGCAAAATTACCTAGAAATATCGTTTTGGTTGCAACCACAAGCAAATAAACTATACAATAACTGCAAAGATAATTTCTTTTCTGTCATACCTTTTAGAATAAACTCCATTAGCAGAAGCTCCTGATGTTTTACCAAGATTATTGTTCTTTCCAGTAATCATGTTCAAACTGCCTAAACTCCCTTTTGATCTTTTAATTGGCAATTTTTCCTTCACGTCAGAAGGCTTACTATCTTCCATGCTTCCAGGAGTATTTCCCTACAGGAAATCTCAAAAGTCAGTCCTTCAGAAGCATGGACATAAAAAAAACCAAGTCCTTCAAAAAACAAACAATAAGATAAAGTAAGATAAAATGCTTACAGAAGCCTCGACAATGCCATTTGGGGAAGGCATAGCAAAAGGACTAAAAGGATAAGATCCCTATCCAAGATTAGATCATGTCACAAAGATGGCTCCAAATATAAAGTTATATAGAAACAAAAACTAAGAATGGAGGAAAAGAACATACTGGAGGAATGGATGGATGCGCATATATTCCACCATGAGGATACATTGCAACATAAGGATGTGGTGGGGTACCATACGGAGGCATAATATGCTGCAACAAAGATAGAATGCACTAAAGCTTTACTGAATCATTAAACCTTAATAGTAATCATGCCACCAAATTTTAAAACTCTAACAAATCAAATACAAAAAGTTTATAACAATCATAATAATGCACCATCCCACAATACCAACACAAAACCATATATACCTGAACCCCCCACATATATGGGGGAGCTTGGGGACTTGACGCCAAGAACCCATGTGGAGGAATGGGAGAATATGCCTGCTAACAAACATAAATGTAATAATTCAAATTCCACATGAAACCTGAATACAAAGTATAGAAACTAAAAATATTTATCTACCAAACCTGAAATCCTGACCAGTCCGCATTTACATTACCCGAGTTACTGGTGGAAGACTGCTCCTGAGCAACAAAAAGAGTATTAAACGGATCAGGACAAAAACCCTTGTAAGAACAACTTTAAAAACATCATAAACTGCAAAAATTTCAAACAATAACACCAAAGTAGACCTGCATAGTAGCAGTAGGCGGTGTCTTTGGCTCCTTTTCTTTTGCAGTTTTATCCATCTCACTGCTGCCCATTATTCTATAGCCACAATCAACTTCTAATAGCCCCTCAAACCATCCTACAATGATGAATCATACTTCCATAAACAATATGCACTTTTTCCTCACTATAAACTTTCAAAACAATCCAATTTATCTAACCTTATACGTTTTTTCAGCAGAAAATAAAAGAAAAATCAACACATAACAAACCATAGCTTAGAATTGAAAAAAAATCCCTTAAAATCCAAATACTGGTTGCATTAGCCCCAATCAAAAAAATTACCCATTCACGTCACAAACAATTGAAAATCTAAAAAAGGAGTTAAAACATCAAAATTCCACTGTCCTTTTTTTCTATATTTTCCCAGTAACCAAACAAATAACATTAAAGAGAAAGAGGTAACAAACATCTAAAGAAAGGAAAACATAAACAAATAATTAAAAAAACAAAAATACTTAATAAATTTGAAGGCATGCAAATGACGTTGTTTGACTAATTTACAAAATCAAGAAATAATAAAAAAATTTAATTCTGAATTACAGCTCGAAAAACTAACCAAATTGAAACGATACCCAAGTCTGATCCACTGATTAGAAGCAAAATTTTGGGAGTTTTGGAGCTTGAAATTGAGTGAGTATTTTTTATGGGTGAGGGAGAAGTGCACAGATGTCAATCTGGGGAACTGAGAAGGGCACGATTGGAAAACAACAAAATCCTCATTTGCCCAGGATTTTTTTTTTCCTTTTTCTTTTCCGGGTAGGAAAACGTAAAAGATCAGGTGTTTGATTTAGGGCTTGTTAATTTGGGGGAGGACGGTGCGGCAAGTGGGGAGTGCACGGAGTAGTTTCTGTGACACGTTGTACGATAGTCGAATTCTCCTTTCTATTCTTCGAGACCTGGCGAAATCTCCATTTTGTCCTTCAACCAGTTACCGGTTTCTCTAGTCACTACTTTGATGTGGTTGAAATCTGAATTATTCTAATAGGGAATATTAGTACTAAAGTCAATGACGGACCGTCATTGCAAAAATCTTGAAAACCCTTTCATGTATATTATATACTACTATAATTATTTTACATATATTTAAATTAATTAAATTATTTCTTACTTTAAATTTATTATTTTTTAATTTTATATATTATAATTTAAGAAACATTAAAATTACATTATTATTATTTATAAATTTATTGTATGCACAATCATTATTTACAACACACTTATCATAAATATTAAATCACATTTATATAAACTTAAAAAAAATAAATTTTTAATTTTCTTAATAAGATTCCAAATCTGCAATCAATTTCTAAAAATGTTTTATTTTTCTTCTTCACATATTAAACTTGTTTTTTCATATTTATGTGATTATTTTTTAATTTTTTATTTGATAAATCTCAAATAAATTATGCTAATTATTCATATTTTTTATTTTTTAAAATATTCGTATTCAACACATATACAATAAATATAAGTATGAAATCCAATGATTCAAGTATATGAAAAACCTTTAAAGTATGAGCAAATTTATATTGAATATGTATTCATATTATATATTTATTTTTAGATTCGAATAACATAATAAATAAAAATACATATAATTTTAATTGATCTTTTTAAAATCAAATATTACAATCTATCACTAACTAAAATACCTTTTAATTAAGGTATGCATCATATAAACATCATTATTTTAATTACAAGTATAAATTGCTTTCCATGATTTAAGTTCAAATTCCAATTCATTACCTCTTCAACTTCTCAAACATATGTAAGTTGAATAAAATATGAGAAGCAACCATAGGAATCCTATAAATCATGGGCAACACTTCCAATGATAACCTTGTTGAATCCTATAATTAGTCACCACCATTGTGTATGAGAAATATCACTTTCATCAAGGCTTAATCATGTGCTAATACAATATTAAAAAAAATCATATGCTAATACAAAATTTTCACCAATTGATTGGGTTAAGAAAATTTTGAGGTACCAAAGATTATTAGTTTGAAGTACAAAAGATTTAATAAAATGACTATTAAGCCGATGAAAATTGAGATGTTGAATTTGAATTATGTTGGGTAAAATGGTACTCGTGAATTTTTCGGGTCGGAGCGGGTTGGACAAAAAGTGAAAAGAGGTACTTAAAGAACCCGTCCCATTTGGGTCGGATCCCTGAGTGGACCTACTTGGCGGGTGAAACGTTAAAACGATTCATCCCCCGCTCAGCTTTTAGCTTCGTTCTGTTTCTTTGTTCATCCTCTAAACAAAAAATTAAAAAAAAAAGGCAGAAAATAAAAAATCTGTGCCAGTGATTGATCGCCATTGCTATGGACTCGCAAGCTTTTCTCTCATTTGTCCTGAATTTAGGGTTTAGTTTTCGATCGAAAGTTTTTTAGAAAAAAAAAGTAGGGTTTCGTTACGGTGATTATTTCTTTTGGGACTCTTATAGTTATCGCGATGAGGAAGGAGAGCCGATTATGGCTATGAAGACATGCAATCGGACCCCGGTTCGCTGGAGCCGTGGCAAGACCTTCTCGATGACGTTAGGATGACATGGAAGATTGGAGCCAACGAGAGCGATCGCAGACGCTGGTTTACGATACCGATAAGGTTGGGAAGCTGAGAAAAAGGCTGGTTAAGAAAGGAGGCTTTATGGGAAAAGAGAGCATGGGTTCCCCTAAGTTGTTAGATGAAGATGAGGAGGCCCATTTTGGGAGGGAAGGGTCGCAGTCAGATGCGAAGAAGAGAAAGAAGAAGGAGAAGAGGCAAAAGGAGAAAAATTATTGGGGTGATGGTGAGAAAGGAACTGTTAAAAAGTTGGGGAAGTCAGAGGAAGTGAATGAGATGTGGGAGTGGTTTAATCCTAAGGAATTTTCTTTATTTCTTTCTTTTGGTAATTGAATTACTGATGGTTGTTTGATGGAATTTGGGGTTTCTGTGAATTGGGTTTTCATTTTATGGATTTACTAGTTTCAGTTGCATAAAAATGATAAACTATGTTGTTGTTGTTTACTGATTGAAGCTAACTTACTAAATTGTTTAATGAAATTTTGGAATTTGTAAAATTTATGTTGGTTTGCATTAATTTAAGGCAAAACTTGGTTATAGTGTAAAGCAGAAGAGGAGAAAACATGTTTGGTTGCTACTTTTCTATTTTGTTTATTTTATGAGAGGACAATTTTGTGATTATTAATAGTTTTCTGTAGAAATACCTAAGATTAGTTTGTGTATTTTGACAAATTAAAATTGAGAATTGAACCTTGTCTTTATTGTTGTTGGAAAGCAAAACTGTAAATGGTTTTTAATTCTTTCATTTGACAGATTATTATTCTTAAATGACATTAGGATCTTCTATTTTAACCATAATATGTTCACAAGTTTAAGAATCACTTTTGAAATATTGCTACTAGTATAAAATAGCTTTTTATTGTTCTTTCAATGGATAAGTTACAAAGCTATTTTAATTTGTTTAACTCATTTCTATTCGATTATGTATGAAGCGGCTTATTAAGACAAGTTTGTTTATGTAATCGAATTTCTTGGAATTTAATAAAAAAGGTCAAAGGCTATCCAAGTCTTGTATTTGGCTATCTCTCTTTGCACTGGAATAGAATGATCAAGAGGGTGTTAGGACTATGGATGATGATGACTTCATAGATGATACCGGTGTTGACCCTGCAGACAGATATGGGAGTGACAATGAAGCAAGGTCGCCTGGTGATGCCCCTTATGTTGTCAATCATCTTTTTGTGGCTTTAATGTATGTTTGTCTTCATTTTAATAAAGAGTTTTAGGAAACTCGGTTTGCTATGATATTTATAGATTTATGTACTTACAGATACATATTCATTGGTTGCTTAAAATGTGATATGAAGGGGTTTTTTTTTTATAGTTATTTTTGGTTCACGTTTATGATCTTTTAGGCAGAGGAAGATGATGAAGATCCGGAGATTAAGGAGTTATTTAAGATGGGTAAAAAAAGGAAGAAGAATGAAAAAAGTCCTGCAGAAATTGCATTGCTAGTTGAGAGTGTCATGGCTGAGCTTGAGGTAACTGCTGAAGAAGATGCAGAGCTTAATAGACAAGGGAAGCCTGTGATTAATAAACTCAAGAAGTTGCCACTTCTTACTGAGGTTCTCTTAAAGTAAGCTTCTTGCCAAGTTAAAATGCCTTGCATGTATTTATCTAGAAATGATCATTCGCATCTTTTTTGAAATTACTCTTTGTGCAGGAAGCAGCTTCAACCAGAATTCTTAGATCATGGAGTTTTAACCTTGTTGAAAAATTGGCTTGAACCCCTTCCAGATGGAAGCTTACCAAATATAAATATCCTTGCAGCTACATTGAAGATTTTGACTGATATATAAAATGGCCTTCTTTCTATTTTGGCCTTCGTAATAATTGTCAGTGCCCCTATGTTCCCTTACATGAAAAACTGAAATGTTGCTTTTTCATGCAGTTTCCGATTGATCTAGAGCAGCATGACAGAAGGGAGCAGCTAAAGAGAAGTGGTCTTGGAAAGGTTAGAACTTCCTTACAGCTACAATCACATTCAGCTTTGTATTCGAAGCATCTTGGATTTTTTTTTTTTATTTCTTCCTCAAATTTTATGGTCAGGTCATTATGTTTTAATCAAAATCTGACGAGGAAACCACTTCAAGCAGAAAACTTGCCAAGGATTTGTTTGATAAATGGGTAATGTTCTGGTTTAAGCTCCAGTTTACATGCTGGGATTTTACCCTCTTGCTTTCTTATCTTCTTTGGATCTATATCGAATAGTGATGCCTTATGGGGTTTATGTTTTACATTTTTATGCATTAGTATGTTGCCTATAGGAGTATACTTCTGATTGCTGACTTTTTAGTGCTTTTTATTTCAGTAAAAACTTCAGCTTTGTTTTCATCAACATTTTGTTTGTCAAGTTTTCCATTCTTTGGATGTCTTGGCAGGTTTTTTTTACGTATATGATATGTCGTTGGGATTCTTTTCTGTCCAGTTCTATTAACTCATTTGTATAATTTTGAACATAACGTGGAGTAGACCAATCTTTAATAAGAGCACAAGGTTTGAGGACATGAGAAATATTGATGATGATAGGGTTCCCTTGCAAAGGCCATCTGTGAAAAGGTTTCTTTTTTAATCAGTTTTATGCAAAACATACCATCTTGTTTGCTAACAAATTTTGTTATTCGTGCATATGTTTACATATTGCTTTTCTTATTAATTTTTTTACATTCTTTTGTAGGCCTGCAGATAGAGCTGCATCAATGGAATCTAGAGATGGTGATTTTGATTTGGATATTTCCCGATAAGATGTAACCTAAGGCTTGGTTTACATCATTATTCTGATGCTCTTGACCCCAACTGTTGGTTATAAATTACAGGGGCGACAAGTCTAGTCGATCATCGTCGGGTCAAAATGCTTCAAGGTTAGAATCTTCTTCAAGGCTGCATGCTTCAAGGCCAGAAGCAACACCAATGGATTTTGTTGTGCGTCCCAAGTCTAAGATTGATCCAGATGAAATTAGAGCTCTTGCAATGCAAGTTGTTCAAGATCAGCATCGTCTAAAGGTATCTTTTTCTCTCCCTAACATTAAATTACTGTTGGTTTTATTGTTTGGAAAAGGTTAATTGGTTAATGAAACAAAAGGGGATGTCTATCTATATTGTTCCTTTAGCTGTGATAACCTTAACATTGTACCACTCTTAGTGCCTTCCTTAATTTGACTTCATGGCGACATGGAATCATCTGGCAACAAGCATTCCAAATGCTCTACTTTCTCTTCTCCATATTTTCTGAAATTGAATGTTAAAATTTTTATGGCAGATGAATAAGAAATTGCAGCAGTTGAAAGCACCCAAAAAGAAGCAGTTGCAGGCTACTAAACTTAGCGTTTGAGGGTCATGGTATGCTTAAGTACCTGTAACGATACCCCACCCATCCAAATTGCCATGAAAGAAGGATGCAACTATGTGAGCCCAATCATATTTAATTTGCTGCTATCGGAGACATTTGGCCGCAAAGGCCTATATAAGCTTTCTTTCTGTTGCGTTGAAGAGAGCTACTTTTAAGTGTCTTGATGCAGTCATTTCTTTTGCCAAAAAGAAAAATCAATTCAATCATGATCGAGAAGGCACGCAAGAAAAATAATGATCTTGTATAAATTTTTTTATACAATGTTCTAGAGTTTTATTATTTAATAGAGATTTAACTATAATATCTTTCATCAAATAATTTTCTTGTAAAATAATCGTTTTATGCAGCTCAAATTCAAATGTCAACAATCTATACATGAATTTGTAATTGTCTATCAATAAAAACTAATCAATCATCGATCCATTGGCAAGATGCCTTGAGGTCGAACATGAAATAAAATGAAGAAAACTATACCTGATCGAACAGAGAATGTTTTCTGCTTCGAGCTCGGAATTCTTTAATGCCTGCAATTAGTCGTTTTCAACACTTTGGCCAAAAAAAAAAATTTAACACGTTTTTTAGCTCAGTCATTTTGACCGTTAGATTTGATAGTTTCATTCTGAACCGTCAGATTTGGTACTCAAATTGCCTTTTCTTTTCTTCATAATTCTTCTCTCATCCTCCACCTATTCTAATAGCAGAAAGAAAAAACATCTTGTTTCTGTGTGACAAGAGATATGCGTTAAGGTAAGTCAAAGTTGGGAGTTTTCTATATTCTTAAACAAAAATTTGCTCATTTGAGATCTGGGTTCTTTTTGTCACCTCTTTAAAATTTGTTTTGGATCATAATTTGGCTAATTCTTATTTTACTTTTTCTGTTGCTTTCAATTTCTAGTGGAATGCAAGAGAAAAGAACACAAAAAATTCAAACTTTTTAATGTTAGACTTTGAATCTGCATTGCTTTCAAAATCTTAGCTTTTACCAGAAGAAAAGAAAATGTGCCAGGGTGGACCCTTGAACAGAACAAAGTTCCTTGTTTTTTTCGAAGCTCTTAATTCAGGATTCAAAAAAGAATTGATTTTTGAATCTGGGTTTTGCGTTTTCTAGGTTTTGATATCCCACATAACTTGAAATTCAGGCAATGGAAGGGATGGAACGGTGGAAGGATCTATTAGAGCAGTTGAAGATTCAATTGGAGCCGTGGAAGAATCAATTGGAGCAGTGGTTGCATCAACCAATTGAGTATTTGAATCAAATACCCCCAATTCAACTCTATGCTGCTATTGCTGTCTTGCTTATATCTACCCTACTGCTTTTGTCCTGTAAGTCTGCATTACATTATAAATATTAATCATGGAATAAAAATCTTGGTTTATGCATTTAAGAATTTGAAATGTCATTCTTTTATGATAGAATCAGTAATTAAAAACATTTTTATTGAAAAATGTATTCTTTTTATTTTTTAGTTATAAAAAACGATATGATGGTTAAGGAATTAGATGAAAAGGTGGTTGTTGATAGACATGAGTGGCTCAAGAGTATTCAAATTACAACCTAATTTTATTTTCTTATTCGGTTTTTCATATAGCCAACCCCAGAATATGGGATATAAGGCTTAGTGTGTTGTTGTTGTGAAATTATTAGAAGTCAATAATTGATTTAACTAAACAAATGCTTGTTAGATTTGGTCAATTTCTCAAAGCATAAGCATTTAGATTATCATCTTAGTTAAAACATATTTAGACTGAATATAAAGCTACAAGATGTCATCTTGAAGTGCCTTACCATGTATTTTAATTTTATGAATTCCAGTTGAGAAAGATTTTAGTGTAAACCTATTAGGTTGCAATGGCTTTGAGGGATATTTAATGATTTTGCGTTCTATGATATTTTGTTTTGAAGCAATATTCTGGATATATTTGGTTTCCTTATTGGAGTGTGAACTTTGAGTCATATTTACTTATCTTTTTCTCACTCTTTATCTTGCAGTCCGCTTGTTCAAACGCACAAAATCAAATACCATTCTAATCACTGGCCTTAGTGGGAGTGGAAAAACTGTTCTTTTCTATCAGGTATGCAGTGCCATTGTCTTTTTTGTTCCTTTTGAAAGTCTTCAAATCTGAAATATTAAACTCTAGTGTTGCATGTTATACTGAATTAAGCTAAGTTGTCCTGTTACGGTTGCCAAATGTGCAATATAATACGAGATGCATATGGGCTTTTAGCATAATTGAAATGCCTAGTGATGTAATGTCGTCATAACTTTCTTGACATGATTCCCATGCCAGCTTCGTGATGGTTCCTCACATCAAGGTACTGTTACATCCATGGAACCAAATGAGGGCACTTTCATGCTAAATTCCGAAAGTAATAAGGTAATTCATCGTAACCTGGGTTTCTGAGATTAGTTTACACTTTCTGTTTCCTACTATGCACATATGTTAAGCCTCTTATTTTATTCTGTAGTCACCAATTGCGACTTTTGGATCATTGTCTAAAATTGAACTGACTCCACACCTTCCTTTTTTTTTTTTGTATCTATTCTTGACAGAAGGGCAAAATCAAGCTTGTCCATCTTGTTGATGTTCCTGGGCATTCTCGTCTGCAGCCCAAACTGGATGAGTTCTTGCCTCAAGCAGCTGGCATTGTGTTCGTTGTGGATTCTTTGGAGTTCTTACCAAACAGCCGTTTAGTTGTAGAGTAAGAATAAGCTATGATAACGCGCACTCTAGTCTTGCAAGTCTCTTCCTTCCACTTTTCGGTTACCAAGAAGGATTTGAGATACAATATTGCTTCTGTAAAACAGGTATCTGTATGATATTTTGACCAAGGCCAGTGTGGTCAAGAAGAAAATTCCACTTCTCATCTGTTGCAACAAATCTGATAAAGTGACAGCGCATACCAAGGAGTTCATCAGAAAGCAAATTGAAAAGGAAATGTATGGCCACAAGTTCTTTTGTCTCTACATGTTCTATGTTCGCTTAATTATCTTTTCCTATACAGAAATTGTAATCTTTTGCATATACTTGATTTGTCTGGTTTTACCATTTTATAGTGATAAACTGCGGGCATCAAGAAGTGCAATTTCGGCAGCCGATATTTCAAATGACTTCACTCTGGGGGTACCTGGAGAAGCATTTGCATTCTCTCAGTGTAGAAACAAGGTTACTATTGCTGAAGCTTCTGGTTTGACAGGCGAAGTAGAGCGAGTAGGACAGTTTATCAGGGAACATGTAAAGCCATAGGCTAAAGCATTCATTCTGCTTTTGTCTGTCTCTGTAAAGCTCTCTTTAAAGCTGGTCTTAGTGGTTAAAGGAGGCTAGGGAAACCGCTGAATTTGTAAGAGAAAAGAGGAGAGGAAAAACTTGTAGCTGCCAACTGATTTACAATATTGTTTTGGATTAGATGTGAAATGTGATTATGAAATGATTATCAACACTTCTGTAATTTTAAGAATTCTTTGATGTGGGTTTCATCTGTGATTGAAATTAATCAAAGAATGAAACTACAAAAGCTTTGAAGCCGTAGGATTATCAATTTTCAAGAAAACTATTCCAATAAATTTAATTTATTTGTTTGTCAAAAAAATGGTTCATGAAGTTTGACTTGATTCTATGGAGTCTGAACATTAAAAATAAAATAAAAAATAAAAACACGAAAAATGTCTGACTTGATCCACCAATCAACATTTTTCTGGCCAATTAAGGAATGGTACTAACATTTTGGTCTAACTTGCTAGGCGGAATTTTTGGTCAAAATAATTATTTTACCGCACTAATAAAATATCTTCAAATTTTTGTTAGGAATATTTTAAATTGACAGGCAGTGCTAATAAATTTTTAAATTTTCAATTACCAAAATTGATTTTTTTTGGGGGGGGGGGGGTGGCTACAGATAATTGAGTAGGGTAGGCGAGTGGGTCCCACTGGACATAGTTCTCAACGTCAAAAGCAAACGTACGTTTGAATGTCCTGTGATGACTGCTGAGTTTAGTAGTTAGCAGTTTAGCACTTCGTGTCGTCTTTGCTGATTGCTGGGTTACCGAATCTCAGAGTAAAGCTTCCCATCGCTTTCCGGCACTTCCCATCCCTCTCCATAAAAATCTCATCCTCCTTTCCAAACCTTTAAAATTTCCTTCTTTTTTTTTTTAATTATTTTAAATACCCAGTTTTCAACTCCCAAGTCCTAATCTTTGACGACAATGGAAGTGTAAGTTTAAGTTTATTGAACCAAAATTTTATTGATTTGGTTTAATTTCTTGTAGATTAGCAAGAATTGTGAAAAGGGCAGTTGTTATTCTTGCTTTAGATCGTTCCTATGATTTAATCTTAGTTAATTCTGATTAATTAATGGTAATTTACAGAGTTGCTTCTGCTCCGGGGAAGGTGTTGATGACTGGGGGGTACTTAATTTTGGAGAGGCCAAATGCTGGAATTGTTCTGAGTACAAATGCACGCTTTTACGCTATTGTGAAGCCAATTCATGAAGATGTCAAGCCTGAAAGCTGGGCATGGGTAAGCTATGAATGATTCTCACGTTTGCATTTGATCCTATCAGGAAATCTGACACTGAATTATAAAGTTAATTCATTTAATTAAATGAACACGTATCAAAATTCAAAGCCACTTTTAGAGTATTTAAAACTTCACTGCTGGTGTATATGATAATGATCCCTTTCCTTAATGTGGTATCCCATTTCCAAGTGATTGTTAGGGTGGCAGTGGCATACTTTATAACTCTTGAAATTCTTTAGTTTTCCTCCATGCAAAAACAAGAGGCGCGCTATACTCGTTTTCTGGCTCGCTATAATCAGCAATTTTAGTAATAAACTCTGGTCATCTGTATCTTCTTTCAGGCATGGACTGATGTCAAACTAACATCTCCTCAGCTTTCCAGAGAAAGCACGTACAAACTCTCTTTGAAACATTTAACACTTCAGCGTGCATCTTCAAGGCAAGGTTTCATCACATGATTGAAGTGTGTTTTTTCTTACATATCTTGCATCTCTTTTATTATGGATTCGTATCTAGCACTAATGAGTTTAAATGACTTTGGATAAAGCTTCATTTAGTCCACTGAAGCTTAATTATTCCTTATTTCTTTTTTATTCCAACAATTATACCAAATATAAGCCAATTTATTAAAGAAGCAATGGATTGTTAAGTTGTTTCACTATTTTTGCCATATTTATCCAGCGACTCAAGGAACCCATTTGTAGAAAATGCAATTCAGTATGCTGTTGCAGCTGCACGTGCAACACTTGACAAGAATAAGAAGGATGCATTAGACAAACTACTCTTACAAGGCAATGTTTAATGCCACATTTATTTATTTATTTCTCTTCTTTAATGGAAACGGTAACTTCAGGGATCTAACATTGGAACTGAATTGGTCATGTAGGTCTTGATATCACAATCTTAGGTTGCAATGACTTTTACTCATATCGGAATCAGGTATTTTCCCTTTTCTGTTAATACTTTGTTATAGAAATAAGATATATCTTTGTGAGATGAGCACTTACTATGGCATGTAAATTCTAGTAACTGATGCCCATTTGTTATGTAAGTACTGCAATATAAGCAGCCAATTTGTTCATCTTCAGATCGAAGCATGTGGACTTCCGTTGACACCAGAAGCATTGGCTGCTCTACCTCCTTTTTCATCAATTACTTTCAATGCTGAGGAATCAAATGGAGGAAATGATAAACCTGAAGTTGCGAAAACTGGATTGGGTTCATCTGCAGCAATGACAACTGCTGTTGTTGCAGCTTTACTTCATTACCTTGGTGTTGTTAACCTTTCCGCCTTGTCTGAAGATTCACACCAACAAAATAAGGATTCCACGGATCTCGATGTGGTGCATATGATAGCTCAAAGTGCCCATTGTATTGCACAAGGAAAAGTTGGCAGTGGCTTCGATGTTAGTTCTGCAGTCTATGGGAGTCAGCGTTATGTTCGTTTTTCACCAGAAGTACTTTCTGCTGCTCAGGTCTCTCTCTCTCTCTCTCTCTTAGGTTGGAGTTAGGAAATAATTTGCAATTGGGAAGATCTCAGTACATAAACTTAGCTCATTGACCAGAAAAGCAAATGCAAAGCTCTTCCAGGCGAACAGACTGCTGTATTGCATATAAAATTTTTATAACACTTAAATCTGTGCAACCATGTTTTTGGTGGACAGCCCTAGATTAATATAGAGTGTGATAAGTACTAGGTTTATGAGTTAAACATTTAATGCTATTGCAGTGCTGCTTGTGGTCACCACCTAGGCTGTTTTCTCAACTCTCTTGGAAAATATATCGCTTTTTGAAAATTTTTATATTTTGAATGAATACACATAAGTAACTCGAGTATTGACTTTGGAAAAGAATGCATGGAAACATCTCTCCCCCGTATTTAGCTTTTCCTAATAGTTTGTAATTTGCTACCTTCTCAAAATTTGACCACTTATAGGATACATTAAGGTCTATATAACTCAGAATTGGTCCAGGCCTCTTGCCATTAGATTACTTTATTCTCAAACAAGTTTCAGTTGCCCTGTTTTTGGTGTTATACCATTTTTGAATAGAATACTTCCACAAACATCTTTTTCAGACATCGACAAAACATTAGACTCAAAATTTAGTTACTTTATTGGGATTCTTCGTAAGAGCTCTTGTAATTTTGCAGGCTGCAGTAAAAGACATGCCATTAGAGGAAGTCATGGGCAACATTCTAAATGGAGAATGGGACCATGAGAGGACTAAATTCTCTTTGCCACCATTAATGACACTTGTAAGCATTATGAGCTTCAGTACTTACCACTTAAATTATAATGCTTTTGTAAGCGTATATGGTTAGTTCTCTGTGTTTCTGCTTAATTAATTAATTAAATATTCTCAGAAACTTAACTCCTCAATACTATTCACTTTACAGGCACAGAATTTATCAAGTCACTCATTAGTTTCTTACCTTAGATTTTAGGACTTTATTCTATCTCAAAGTTAGCTTTTATTTACTTTTAGGTGCCAAAAAATGTTTATTTATAAAGAATAAGTCAGGGTAAAATCCCTCAACGGTTCTTGTACTTAGTGTACATATGCATAGCTATTGAAGTGAATATGTAGTGGTACAATCATGTACATCTGGATGTATATCGTGTTATATGCAACAGGACTATTGGAAACTAAATCTAGAAAATAAAATTATTTAATTTTACCTATTCTCTTCCTTGTTTTTGAAGAATATGAATGGTGGCTTGTATATATTGTTAACATTTTTAATTACTAAAAAACAAGTATTGTCTAAGTCGCAAAGTTTGTTGGCTGTTACAGTTACTAGGAGAACCTGGAACTGGTGGATCATCAACACCATCAATGGTAGGTGCCGTTAAAAAATGGCAGAAGGTTGATCCTGAAAAATCCCAAGAAACATGGAGAAAGCTGGCTGAGGCTAATTCAGAACTTGAGGCACGACTCAACATGTTAAGCAAATTAGCCAAAGAACATTGGGATGCTTACAAATGTGTCATTGGTGGCTGTAGCAGGCTCAAACCAGCAAAGGTATGTTTTTAGACTATTCCCCACCAGTCAAGAAATCAATAATAAAATATAATTTCCTAGTGTTTTTTTTACTGAGAAAAAAAATGAAATTTTGTCTTTCTGGATTGTGAGTATACTTGCAGAAACTTTTAAGGACACTTTCCTGATATAGGGTTGCTAATTAGTAATTATAAACCTTGGAACCTTGGTAGCCATGGGTAATTCCGAGTTTCTGACCTCAAAGATTGACCAAGTGGAGTTACTACAGAAAGATGTAAAATATACTGTGTGAATAAATATCAAAATTCAAAGAAAGATACAATATGTTCCATAATTGGAAATTTTATTCTCATGGACTTTAGGGGATGCTTACTTTTTAAAATAAACTATTTAGGCCATCTTGTCATCTTAGTATCAAAGTAGTGATATTTTCCTTCCAAGCATGTCAGGCTGTAGTCAAGGTTGATAAGACTACAATGGTCTGCAAGAATCTACTGTACATGCTGTAAAAGAATTGCTTACTTGTTTTTATTGCGCGGGTAACTAAATTTTTGTTTCAACATTTTACTACCTTCTCGATTTTGCTCTCTTTCCTTCCAACGTTGATTTTTAAGGTGGTTTCCTAAACCAATTGCGTGGACAGTGGATGGAGGGAGTTACTGAGCCAATCAAAGAAGCAGTTGTTAAGGTATTGCTACAGGTGAGGGAAGCTATGCTTGGGATCCGAAATCACATGCGACAGATGGGAGAGGCAGCCGGAATCCCGGTAGGTTATTAACTCTTTGATTTGATGCTTGTTTCTTTTCATTACGTTATTCCTTTTTTTTTTTTTCACATTTTCATAATATGTCCATTTTTATGCATTTGCATGTTTGCTAAAAATGTAGAATAAATAGCAAGAGGTAGAATTAATTTTTTTCCTTTTTTGTCATCTGATTCTATTAAGAGGTTAATACTGTTGACTTACTAAGCATAATTGATTGATTTACCTTTCTAGATCCTAAATGCAACAAGACCAATTAACAATTTTATCAGCCGAGTAGGGATATACTTCTTTGATGGGTTCCAAAATGTTGTATTTTCATTTGGGCGTAGTATATTACCCTCAAGTTCTACATCCTATAAATCTTTTTGACTTTCAAAATTGCAGATAGAACCTGAATCACAGACTCAACTTTTGGATGCTACTATGAATATGGAAGGT